CCAAATTTCCTAGAATAGAGGCTAGCGACTTCGTCTTCTCACAATACCAAGTAACCAGCTCGAAAAAAAAAAATTACATGTTTTAACATTGTGGATTAATTGTTATTTTTTTATATATATTAATCTATTAACAAAGCGGAAAATTAAAACGACCTCTGTCTCATACTGACCATATTATTTTTAATTCCATTGACTCCAAAATATCGCATTAAAATAATATCATATCATAAAAAAACCGTCGTTTGTTTATTTTATGATATACTAGCCTTTGCCCGCGTGTATGTCGCCTGTGTCCTTTATCAAGAATCAAACTATCTCCATATCAAATTCTACTTAAAGCGGTTCAGCGGTTTAAGCTTACAGAGGTAACAGACGGCCAGACAGACAGACAGAGAGACACACTTTCGGATTTATAATATTAGTGTTTCAACTGCCACAGACACAGAAACAAAAACATACTACAGCGCCATCTAACGAAGAAACACCGAACTACGGTGTAGCTGGTAATTCTCTATAGCGATATAAATAATTTTCTCGCCGATATGCATTTATACAACTTCCCAACATCAACCGCCAGGCATAATCACCTCGCCTGGTCGGAGGATCCTCCCTTTGTGTTGTTGAGACATGACAACCATGACATTTTTCTCTTTCATTTGTCATGGGTCTTCTCCTCACCTGTTCAAAAGTAAGGGGCTGGCCTTAAACATGGGGAGATAGTCCCCGAGAAACCTGACAGACCTTGATCGCCGTTATACCACTGCGTGCAGAGGGCCTTGCCTCTTCCTGAAGTTAGAGAGTCGCCCGTAGGACACATCTCGTTACCATCTCAGGACTGCTTTTGCTATAAGCAATGAGCAGTCCAAAACTCATGGAGGACGGTAATCACTCTGTACTTTCCGTAGACTAGAGTGGAGAGTACTGTCATGCTGTCTTTGCAGAAAATCCTGCATGATGGAGCCTAACTTTAAAATTCTGGTAGAACGGATTACTCAAATCGCTCTTTCCAGACGGAGGTCGCAGAACGACCTCCGTCCTCCATAAGCGCGGGCCGGGGGGTGACAGGTGAGGCCATCTGTCACCCTAGCAGAAGCAGGCCGGGGTGGCGGCGAGCGCGTTGCGAAGCGCGCTCGCTTCCAGGGAGCACAGGGAACATGGGGTTCCCACACGGGGCGGGGGTCGTCTACTCGTCTGTAGATGACCCGAGGTATGTCGGGGCACCAGGGACTTCCTTTCTAGGGTATACCTGGTTCCCCGGCTATTAGTACCCGGCGAAGGCGTTTTAGTCGGTTCGAGTCCGACATGCCACCGACAGGTGGTATCCGAGGGGATTTCCGCACGGGAAAAAAAAAAAAAAAAAAAAAAAGGTGGTATCTCCTATGACTGACCTTATGTCAACATTCCGTCACAAACTCCTTACATATTGAGGTCTGGTAAAGGACCGTAGACTTCATTAATCTCTCGTAGATTCTCTTAGATGTCGGGTCTCTCTTGGATGGAAGCGCCAACAATACCTCACCCCTGAACTCTGGTTCTTTCACCAGGGTCCTTACGCGCTAGGTTGCATCTACAGTGGGCAGTGTCCTGTAAAAACCAATTAGTTTTTCTGCCAGAAAGGTGCTCGCTGAGCCGTTTTGTGATGTTTGCTCAGAGTTTACACATCTTATGAAGCAACATGGCATTCCGATAGGCAGCCGATGAGTCCGTTAGACGTCTCCGTATCAGGGTAAGTATCAGTTTCCTCGTTTTCTACAATTATTGTTTTTTTTTCAATAGTCAGGGCCCGGTACTTTTGACTTAAAGCCTAGCTAGTTGCCTTAAAGGGTACCAATACCCATCATTCCATTTCAATGTTTTCATTGTCTTAGGCTAAAGGTGAAGGAGAGTCATAAGCGGACGTGTATTCTCCTACGTCCATGAAAGTAGCATCGAGGGGATAATTCTTTTAAATGGCTAAATTGAATCAACGGAGAGGCTCAAAAGAGTAACTAGCCTGTTACCAAAAGGCAAAGCACATAATTCGGTCATTTTCTCTATATGAAGTCACACTAAAAAGATCATGCTTACGTCACCAGTAACGGGACAGTAAGTAAATAAAAATACACCTAATTTAAACCTGTTTTTCCAAACTAATTCTAAGTTTAGCTATAGTGATAATAAATTACTTTATGCGGAGATTACTAACATTTTTAACCGAAAGATATGGTTAGAAAATTTACGGTCGAGATAACAACAACGCTCACTATAGCATTTCAAGTTAAGCTTGAAACACAATGATGCGTAATTAAACCAATTACATACCTATAATTATAGTTATTTGCCAACGTTATTTTTCATTTTCATAACTAGTTTATACACTGTACAACCATAGTTTCATTTTATCACACTATAAAGTAAATAATGAGTACACTTTTCTGGGTTGATGAAAAACTTACAGCGTAAGGTAACTAAGATTTTCCACAGGTCGAGGATATTCGAAATTCTAATGTTTCAGGAAAACATATTCAAAAAAATCAGTTACACGTTACTTAAAATTTCTCTCGACAAGTAAGATAAATCTGGCAGCAGGTTTTGAAAGTTGAAAGTTTTGAAGCTTGTCATGGATGGATAACTTTAGTTAAACACACAATTTTAGGTGTGGAAATAGGTCGGGCACGCCGTCATCGCGTTGGTAAGACCCGTTATGGAGGATTAGCTCGAGAGGCGTCACGGGACCCTCTCATACCGACTGACGCAGGTAATCACTGGGAAAGGATGTTTCGGGGATCACCTGTGTCTGATCCGCAAGGAGCCAACGCCTGAGTGCCACCACTGCGATGGCCAGACCGGACACGGCTCTCCACACTCTGGCAGAGTGCCCGGCGTGGGTTGAGCAGAGGCGAGACCTCGTGGCGGCCATCGGAGTGGGAGATCTCTCGCTCGATAGCCTGATTGCGGCTATCGTGCGGAGCGAGAGTGCGTGGAACTCTGCCGTCTCCTTCTGCGAGCAAGTTATGCTCGCGAAGGAGACGGCGGAGCGGGACCGGGAGAGGTTTAGAACTCTCCCGGGGCGCCAGGCCCGGGAACGGGCCAGGTACCGCAGGCAAATCAGGCGCCGGAGGTCGTAGAACAACCTCCGTCCTCCATAAGGGCAGGCCTGGGGGTGACAGGTGAGGCCATCTGTCACCCTAGCAGAGCAGGCCGGGGTGGCGGCGAGCGCGTTGCGAAGCGCGCTCGCTTCCAGGGAGCAAAGGGAACATGGGGTTCCCACACGGGGGGGGGGGGGGGTCGTCTACTCCCGTGGGGCACCAGGGGCTTCCTTTCTAGGGTATACCTGGTTCCCCGGCTTTTAGTACACGAGACGGCGTGCGGTTTTAGTCGGTTCGAGTCCGACATGCCACCGATAGGTGGTATCCGAGGGGATATATGCACGGAAAAAAAAAGAAAAAAAAGGTGTAAGGAAATAGGTGTAAGAAAAAAAAATTTAGAACGCCAAAAAAATACAGCTTCTACAAAGTTAAGCACATTTTTTTTCGACTTCGGAATTAGTTCGGAATTCCAATACAAATAGATGTAAATTGATCCATCAAAATAGGTAAAATATTTATGGTCAAGTTGTTGTTGGCTGCAAATTCTATTAAGCGGTCTTCCCTGTTGTTTCTGACGCCAAGACCATACCTACCGACAATGTTACGAATTCCATCATCCATAGTAGTGTCCCCCACTTTGGCGTTAAAATCTCCCATAATGAGTGGCAGCTCTCTTTTGGGTGTTGTCGCTATAGAAGATTCAAGGTTTTATAGAATTCTTCTACTGACTTATCACTGAAAGAAGACGTGAGAGCATATACCTGTATGATATTTAGTGGAGTTTTGATTTTATTAAGCAGTAGTTAATGCATGAATAAGGCAAGTTACAGAGCTGGAAATAACAGGTCAAAGTAAAACGCAAAACGACTAAAATAACATGCTACAATATTGCTCGTTACATTACGCGTATTTACGGAGTCGTTTCCTTGATGGAGTGAAAATTCGGGGTAGTGACGGGAAACCAAACAAAGGCGCGGTAAGACAACATGAGCGAATTCAAATTACGTTCTTTCGTGCCCGAAAACGTTTGGGCATGGGCACCGCATTATGTTACTTTTGTTTTAACAGCTGTTTCAACGGGAAGATGTGGCAAGTCCTATTATTTTTTTACTATTTTTTAGGGAAAGACTACTAGCAAGTTTAGTTGCATATTAAGTGCCTTAATATGCGTTGAAAAGCTTTATTTATACAGCCGCAAGCTCACGTATGATGTTTTAACTTATAACCACACATATTCTGAGACTTAATAGCTTGTCTGTTTCATGTTATTGGAGGTCCTATCGTAATATATATCGTATATAATGTCGACCTTCAAGTTAATTATTGGCGACGACCGAATGGCGTAGTGGTTTGTGTAACGGACTGCTATTCTAAAGATCGCGGGTTCGATTCCCGCTCAAGTCAAACATTTGTGTGCATGAACTTTTAATATTTGATTTGGTCTGGGTGTTTCTATGTATTAACAAACAAAAAGTATATATGTATTTATATCAGTTGTCTAGTGTCATATTTTCTACTTAACTTGACTATAATGAATACCACCTTCTAGCACCGTCCAAGACGATTATATACTTGGATATCCCCTGGTGATCTGTGTCGGAACCAAATAGACTAATTCTAATAACATCAAGATGTAGGAGCTCCGTAACCAACACGCATACCTTACCTGGTGCAGACTGTGAGTCGGCCCATGAGCTACTCGTCGGCAAACTAAGGCTTCAATTACAAAAGTTAATAATGTCAAAAAGGCCTAAACGTATGCACATAGTGGATAAAAGCTCTCTTACTGCATTAATCGAGAGTAAGCATTCTGCTTGGAATGACGATTTTAGGACCAAGAATTCCAATTCCTTATAGATATCCGCAAAGAAATGTTTTGTGGATGCAGTTGAGACGCAACCTACTAAAGTACCAACTAAACGGCAACATTAGATGTCAAAGGACACTTGGCCCTTAGTGCAAGAACGAAGACAGCTTAAGGCCAGTGGAGTGACTGGTGCCGAATTGAAGGCCAAAACATCAGCCGTACAAGCTGCCTCTCGAAGAGATGGCAATAATGCGTTGAGTAAGATCTGCGAAGAACTAGAGCAGCACTCTGATAGGTTGCAGACTAAAGACCTCCATGATAAGGTTCAACAGATAACTGGCCAGTTTAAACCTGAGGCAATTGAGAACGCTCATGGAGTAACGGTCACTGCGATCAAAGGCATTGTTGATGTTTGGAGGGAGTAATCTCTCTTCTCAAATAATTCCAAAGCAGTCAACAAATATCATCAGTATGACCAATCTCCTCTTGATAAATACATAGTCCAGTTGATTAAATGCGTATTGGAAAAGTACATGAATATCCGTTTAAATTATTCGTTCAAATTGTCAGGGTCTCCATAACATCAACCATCTTGGCACAGTCGTTTATTTGTTTCCGTAGAAGGCCCGACATGTTCTAATTCCAGCATCCTTTTGGAGAAACTGCTTTGAACCATTTGAATATCGGCGAGTTGGATAAAAAGTCGTCGAGTTCTATATTTGTGTAAAAAAGCTGGCACCTGGCTTAGAAACTTAGATCAGTACATATGAACAGTCTAGTAGTAATTGTAAGTATTGAGTTAATAAGCAGTACTTCACTTAATTTGGTGTTAAATAAGCTATAAATAATTAAAATTTATTAAAAGCTTTTAAAAGTAGAACTTATTAACACCTACCCACGAAAAAAAAAAGGTTTTCTTTTCTACTTGTAATCTACATTTGTAATACTTGTACACCTTCGATAAATTTAGTCAATCCCTAGCATTGTTTACAGGGATTCTCAAACATCAAAAGAGGTTGTAGTGGTACCACATAATACATTGGAGTAAAATGCAATGTAATTCTGGGTGATTAAGGTTAATAATAGTTTGTGCCTTAGACATTTCACCGTTGTTTTGCAAGTGTGTGCGAGACTTATATCTATTTGTTTGTATTTTGTGTATGTGTTAAGATGTGGCGACATCGGTTCTGGAAGTGATCGGGCGCCAATTCATTTCTAGTGTGTTATTATTATGATTTCTATGCTACTACCGTATTTTTATTGAATTATTGCATTGTCATCGGTCCTAGATAAGTATGCGAAGTTGGAATTTCATTTGACGTTTTGAAGTGTTCCTAAAATCGCACTCCTGCTAAATTATTTCGCTCTTGTAACTAGTATTGCTTCTAAAACACCCGCTGTGGTACCTTTTTAGAATCTACGAGAACTAGACATGTTGTTAAGATAATGGGCAACTATGACACAGTACTTTTTTTTGACAGTCAAAGGTTAAAACCCCACATAATGAAAAGAAAATTACAAAAATGATTAATTGAAAAAGTTATTTTTTTATATTAATAACGCCCATAATCGTAACTAAATGAAATAATACAAGGCGCCAGGAGTGCAATACAGAAAAAACAGCGAGAAACACCTTAATTTGTTGAAATGGTATATCAGATTGAATGAACAAAGTGCAAAACTTCAAAAAAATACAAAAGTGGTCACCATTTTCATACCGTTGGCAGCCCTGACATGAAAATGTGATTTTCTTATAGCCTGGCACCAGGGATACCTCAAAGTAACGGGTTATCTATTACATACCTACTTACGACAGACCCTACATAAAAAAAAATGTATCCATGTATACATTACGCGGATGTCAGTGGGTACATTAAAACAAACAATTCAAAAAAATCACAATTGCAAAATTAAGCACTAAAATGAGATTTCAATTTTTCCCCTAAACCTATCGAGTGGGGTATCAAACTAAAAGGCTTAAAAAGATGATTAAAATAACGTATATGAAATAACTGTTTTAATTAGTTGGTACTCGTCAACGCTGTTATAAATTAATCTTATAGGTTTTCATTGATAGGAACTCACTCCTTTACATCACTGCTTACAGTAAGAGAAAAGAAGAGAAATTGCAAAACTCGTCAATTCGTAATGTACGTACTAGTAGTAACCTGTTAGTAGGTAGTAGGTAGCAGGTAACCTATTTTATTTGTAAAATCGTTCAACGTGCATCAGAACAGGTCACTCACTATAATAGTAAACAGATACACGTTTACCGAGGTAATCAAATCTACATGTTTATACGTGTTTAGATATATGGCAAAGATTAATTAATTCTTAAATGGGTCAGCACGAGAATACAAATTTAAGCGTTGGTATCCCGTGACTTGTAAATATTACACAGTATCGTACTACGAGTATAATCACTACCAGCAATATTTTTTTTAAATGTTTGAAAACTTACCAAATCTCCTTCCAGTTTGAGGTAGTTCCAAAATGTGTAGACTTCTCAGTATATATAATATTAATGTATGTTAAATCGCTAAAATATTATAAAAATGCTCTTATAATGCAAATATTCGTAAATTTAGGTAAATATAGGGGATATTTAAATTTACAGGCACAGTTATGATATGTATTTGTTAAGATAATGTTATTTAAGTCATTTAGTATTTATCACTACAGTTACTTTCACATAGATTTCCTATTTTGTATAGTGTGCCTATGTTGTGCCCATAGCTGAGCTAAATGCTTAGTAAACACTGGATATTTTCTTCCCGGCTTTCACATGGATCAGTCTATTGTTCATAGAGTACATCATTCTTATAAAGCACACTTAAATGCGATGTTATTATAACTTATTTAATAATTAATCGTCCAAGCTATGGCGGCTTGCTAGTTAGATTAGTAACATTAGAAAACAGCATACAAACAAACACAGGAATTGAAAAACTACTATGAAAAATAAACTATAGAACATAATATACTTTAGTAGCACTGATATTAATGTTTGATAGCGGTGTATTTACTATTTTGAACTATATTTAGGGAGTTTTGCTTCGCAGTGATTTTCTAAGCGTGCTAGAGAATGTCAGAGTTGTCAGATTATGTACACATGCGCAGTGGAGCCCTTTTTGACAAGCCGCGCATTTTATGTCGATAAAACAGGCCTACGGCTTGAAGGGTAAGGTAAAAACAGGAATCGGAAGATAAATTAAATGGGTTAGAGAATTATGCGTCGTATTCGTACAACGTTTAAGTAAAAGTATAGGACTGTATGTACATATGCAAGTTCCCTAAAATTTTTTTTTTCCTAAAGATGTTTAGAATCTAGAAATTTTAATTATGATTAAAAATGGTTAAAATTGGGCTAAAGTTAACGAGACCTAACAAACTAGGACGTTTTATCTTCTTTCTTTTAAAGATTAAAAATTTTCTGTTTTTGTTGAGCAATAGAAGGCGACTCAAACTAATTTCCCAAATAAAAACTCTACTTTTTTAATAACCACAATTAAGGCGTTGGAAAGCGCTTAAAACCAGTAAGTACCTAATAGCTTTCTAAATAAAAACACTTCATTATTACGAAACACGCATTTGCTCAATAGCAAGCACAAAGGTACTTATTATTTTTTATTATTTTGCTTTTACTAAAGATTAAAAAAGTAAGAAATGTTACTGATTGTCACGCCATGAATACAGAAATAGGAACTATGAAGCCAGTCAAGTCAAGCATAGTTCGTTTTGAATATTAACGCTGCTATAGTTTTTCTAATGCATTTACATTAGAGAAATAAACACGAAATACATAAGAAAAGTAGAACCGTTTTTACATATTTGTGTATGTGTGATTTTTATTTCTTTAATGCTTCAATTATTAATGTAGAGGTTGAAAATTAAACATTGTATTGAAACCAAACAGTTACCATAAATTATACACTTTTTTAAATTTCGTAAGATCTTAGAGTTCCTCGGAAGGAAGTTCGCCGCCTTTACTAAATATATAGAGACTTCTTAGAGAGCACAGTGAAAAATTGGTATTAAATGGAATTATTACGAGTACATACTAGAATACAAGTAGTAATGATAAAGTAAGTTTGTATGAATTCTCCGGCCGGCTGGTATTCTTACCAAAGCGATAAAAGATAAGGACTCCAAATTCAGCAACGCACTTGTGACTTTTGAGTTTTAGGTGTCCATGGGCGGCGGTAGTTGCTTACCATCAGATGACCCGTCTGCTCGTTTGCGCCCTTATGCCATAAAAAAAAACACAACATTCAGCGCAGGTGACCGCTTAAATCACTACGCCATCCCTGCAGTCATTAACTTTGAAGGACATTTGCGCCTGCAGAAAATTATTTAATGTCTTTATTGCTATTTGGAATTATTTAATTTCAGTTATCATGCAGACGATCTATGTTGAGGAACAATAAAAAAATGTGACTGATAAAGTCTCCCTGTGACATTAACAGACTATAAAAACGCGTCAACCAAGGCTGAATAGTAGCCGTGACATTTTGAAGGCTATAGGCCGAAATGTCGTTGTAGGTATGGGGAAAAATAATGTAGGTAATAATATCAGAGGCTACGTTTTGCCGCAGGACCGAAAACTATTTAATAGGGTCGAAAATAATGTGTTATACCTAATACTTATGTATACAGGAATATTCTAACTAAATTTTATTAGCCTTGTGCTACTTGACTAACAAAGTGATATGACTCGAGTTAAGTTATCCCATAAAGTACAAAATAGGTGCCTACAGTGCAAAGTACAACGAAAAGTGATCAAAATATGTATTGTCATCAAAGTCACTCATTAGTGTACCGGAGTCCTATCAAGAAGCCTTTATGGTTCCGCCATGTTCATCTGTGTCAATCTGTCCGTCTTTCCGTCCGAAGCTTAGCGAGACTGTTAGTACTAAAAAGCTAAAATATTGCAAGGCTTATAAATTAATCACGCCAAAAAATAGTAATATACAACCTTCAGAATTTTTTTCTTAAATACCTCCCCCCATACTTGCGTTGTGTTTTCTCTCGTCTGTTACATACTGTGGGATATCATTGGGTAAGTCTTTCAAACACTTTGAGGGAGTATCATGACAATTTTAAAATCATTAATCCAGTTGTGAAATATTAAATTAAGCATGCAAGCAACAAAAAGCACTCATTTTTGTTACAGTTAAGTTTGAAAGTGAGATGGGGAAGGCCCACTAAGGAATATAAGAATCACGGCTAAGTTACATGTATTCTTTGAAAATAATTGTGGCCCAATTTACAAAATATATCTAATATACTAGACAAATTACCACAAAATTATCAATCCGTAGAATAGAAATATTCCTAGACTCCCACACTGAGTTCTCTAGTTCAATTTTAAATCCGCCAAAAACCGTTTACGTGCATAATAGCAAGCCCTTTCTTTAAGACAAAT